CCTGTTGTATCCCTAGTATTTTATCTAAAAACCCCTACCTCAGATACAAAGTGACACGTACGAATCTGGGAAGACTTGGCAAATTGTTTCACCCCACCAATTAGAAACCGTAGTGTTAAAAATAACTCAAAGATGTTTATCCGTGTCTAGTGATGCAGTCAAGACCAGCTAAACCGAGACCAAATCATTACCGAGACCAGGTCATTACCAAGACCAGAGTGTATCGAGACCAAGACAAGACCCAGACAAAGGCAGGGCTAGACCAAGTCAAGAAACAGACTCATGTTTGAGTCTAAACACAACACACTATAAAACATGGAGCATAGGCACCTTCTTGGGGCTAGGCAGTATGGTCTAAAATTTGTGTCACAGTATAATTTGAACCATGGACATTTTTTTTATTAAAATTTCAATATAAATGCTACTGGACAGGTAAAGTACAGGTATGGCCACTGCATGACGCAAGAGCATAGGTTTGGTCTCAATGTAAAAACCAACACAAAGCACTCACATCCAAATGATAACCTCTGGGTACTGGACAGAGGAAACAGTCAATGGAAAAGGATAGAGCCCACACCAGCTGTACATGAAGTTACCTTAAACTACATCTCCTGCCAGGGGAGGCACTCTCTCTCCATCCTTCCACAGCCGATCGCCCTCTGCACAGATACAGCTCCTCAGAATGCCACTTAAACAGCCTGGGAAAGCCAGCGGCGTAACTCGATCCCGAGCCAAGCAGCCATCTACGGCCACAGCTGCTTTTAAAAAGACGAGTGTGGCACTTTCTGAAAAACACGATGCCTTCATGGGAAAACATGGGTCTGATGAACAGAATCGCAAGTATTTTCTGAGTTCCACAGTCTACGGGGTGAATACTTATCTTACCCACCGTCCTCTATGCTGAAATCCTTTTAGTAATAATAGTGGCCCATCATAAAGTCTGATTATAACTACACCCTAAAGCCATATCACCAATCACTGTTGGGGTTTTTAGTTATGTCCAGTAATTTCATCACCCAGCACTCACCACAGCATCAGCGGTTACGGATTATAAATGTCATTTCTCCCATAAAGCAGATGTTTCCAGTGACGCTTGAGATTAAAACCGACACAAATGGAAGCAAACTGTCACAGAACGAAATTTTCTCCTGGGGGATAATTTAACTTGGACTAAAATCATGGTCCTTAAAGCAAAAGCTAGAATACTATAAACCAGTGGTGGGAGATCTTATCCAGAAAGGGCCGCTGTGTCTGCGGGTTCCTGCTGCAAGCTCCATAATTAGATTACTGAGGACAGATTGGCCGAAGAGTCCTCACACCTGGGTCTGGGCAGCTGACCTACAGGTTGTCCCAAAACCCTGCATACATACTGGCCCTTCGAAGATAACACCGGCCACCTCTGCCATACACAAACCCTGGCGTCCCCTCGCTCTACCCCAACTTACACTTCCATTGGGTTGCTAGCTTCCAGACAAAACAGATTAATTTCACAAAACTCGATTCAGACAGCCATCTCTGCCAAAGTTGGCCCTTAAGTGGTTTATCCCCTGTTCTGGCCCCACTTAATTATAAAATTAATGGCTTAAATTCAGGGAAAACCAACTGGTGCCACTCATGGAACCTACATGCATGTCTGGCTCCACAACAGACTACAGTCATAACACTACACCAGAAAGAGGAGTAGCGGGAGTAGAATCACCAGAAAGCACAGGTGCTGCTTCCAACAGGACCAATCACAGACCAGAGATGACATAACTGTCATTTAGAACAAAGATGTTTGGATAGAGATATATGTATTTCCATCACTTTGACCATCATAAGAGCCTAATCTGCCACTGAGAATAAACACTCCCCCCAAGTAACATTAGATCTTGAATTTTTGCTCAGTCTGTACTAGAAAAATCTTGCAAAATACAAAGACTCGGTAAGTAGTAGGTTGTTTTAGTTTAAAAACTACTGTCAAATTGAGCGTTTCGACACTCCATAAATTATCTTAAATTCATCATATAAACACGACGAGAACAATAACTACCCTTGTAGGTTTGGCGGAGTCCGCACACAGCGGGGCGCACGGCTCATCGGATGGCTGGTATTACATAACACGCTGAATCTGCTACGGGCTCGTGAACAGAAATATATATCACCGGATTCTTCCATTCTATTTTTCAGATCATTTTATATAGTTTTTTTCTATATGATTCACTCGCAAAACAACCTGAATGCATCTATACTCCCTCAAGGAAACGATAATCATTGATTATGAAAGCAAAGCTACTTTAATGATCTTCCACTGACAGCGCTGGAACAATGAAAATCTTGTAACTGCAACTGCAAATTACAAATAGACGGCAGTCAGGGAGACATCGGTGTAAATCTTTAAATGAGCAAAGGTTGGCTTTGCAGAGCACTAAAAGATCAGGGTTTTTTAATCTGGCCCTCCCCCATCAGCGCCAACTTTGCCAGACGGTGCTGTTGTTGAATTTTTAAGGTATCGACACGCTCCCCGATTTGCTGTTTTCCAAAATCCACCCCGCACAGAAAAAACTATAAAAAGGTGATCAGTAACTGCTGTAATTACGAGCGAAGCATCCGCTCCTTGTAAGGAAAGCGCCCAGCAAAAACACTGTTTCGGGGAGTCCAGCGGCCGCACGCCGCCTCGGCTCCGCAGACCGGGCTCCGGGCTCCGCCACGGCAGCCGGCACCAACCTTTCTGGGCTCGAGCCGCTCTGGCGCTGAAGATCACGGCGAGTGTGGAGACGAGGAGAAGCCGTGCCCCGCCGCGTCCTGCAGTCACCATCCCAGACGTGGCCATTCCAGCCTGCAGTCCGAATGCATAATGGAGATGTGTGTTGTTCTTGTTTCTCCTTTTCTTTGGTGACTCAAACTTGGCGCAGGTCAGTGGAAGATGGTTATGGGTGGAAGCGGAGACCCTCTGCCCCTCCGGTGAGCGGCCGTCCCGGAGTCCGACGTGAGCGATCCTAACGCCTGGTCGCCCTGCAGCTCCAGCACCTCCAATCCCTCCGATCCATCCAACTGCTTCCCCGACTTCCGTTCCTCCCACAATGCAACAGGATTAACTTTGCGGTTCTTCAAACTCTGTTTCAGAATGGGAGCATCAAGATCGCGCTCAGATACACGTCCTGTTGGTTACATTTTTTCGTTTTATTGCCGGTGTTCTGTCGAATTGAGCTACTTTGTCGAGTTAGGCTACCGTAGTGCTAATCGATAGCCCTAACTCTTACCCTAACCCTAACCACCCAAAAACCCCTAAAACCCTTACCTTTACCCTAAACCTAACCCTAATTCCAAGACGGTGGAACTGCACATGCGCCGAAAGGCTCGATAGCAAGTTTCGATAGGTAGCTCAACTTGTCAGAACACCGGATGTTCATTAAGGATAATCGGCGAGCGATGCGGCAGCCTATCAGATCACACATACGTAGAACTGCTGCATATTCCCGATGACACGATTTGGAGTGTTTCCGACTTTTTCCGCTTTGCAACAGCATCTGAATATGCAGTGATACTGTTGCATATAGCGCAATAATTTTGCTTCTTATTTAAATCACGTGGAGTCATTAGCTTTCAAGGTAGGGACTGTACTGGACAGTGCACCAGGGTGGATCTGGGAAAAAAATATCGAATCTGGGACAATTGGTGACACACACGCGTTTTGGTCGCGAAAGAAAATTGGCGGTGCAGCTGAGAGAAGTTTAGTAACCAATCAGTACTGGTGACGGTGAGTCATCGATTTTGTCAGCGGTTCCCATGCGCGAAACCCAGACTCACTGCAGATGTTCTCTACAGATGCGGCACCTCCGTAGTGTGCAGTAAAACAGTGCTTAAGGTTGACACGTCACCTCCTTTAATAAAGATTTTAACAAAGGAAGGAAAGAAATGGCCAGCTACTATGTGTGGTTGCTGTAATTATGAAATTTCTCAGACCTATAGTGATTTAATATTGCATGTGGCTGTGTCTGGACAATTGGCCTCTATTGTTGTTGATAAAGAGTGATTTGTGAGTGTTCTTATCATAAGGAAAGCTAACATTTTTCATTATTGTATTCAAGAATGTCTGTAGTATAATTTGACCAATAAGACAAAATATTATATTTCTTTAAAAGTATTGTCATCTTCCCTATCTCCTGTCCAGTTCAGGATGATGGTGAATCCATCCCAGGACTCACTGAGCACACTCTGAACCGGATGTAAATGTACAGTCACACACACAACTATGGGTAATTAATAGACAAACTCACATAAACTCCATGTCTCTAGACTTCAGGCCAAAGTCCCTGCAAAATTAGAGGAAACATGGACAATCCATATGGAACCAGTGCCAGGATTCAAAGGCACACTCCTCTTGGGAGATTAGCACCACCCTACATCACATGGCAGGTAACCAGATATATAGATATATATAGTTTTTATGTAAAATAATTGAAAGTTACAGTGCTCACAGAAAGTCTTGGGACGCAATTAATAACAAAATGGCAAGATCAGAACTGAATGAGTCAGTCAAAAAAAATCATGGTACTTAAGAAAATCTGTGTGGAATGTGTGTGCAGATACAGTAACTGTATGTTAAGCATTGCTTGTCAGTGGAGTTTTTTTAATGAAACAGTGAATTTGCGACATTATTACAGAATTAAGCACGTATCCCAAGACTTTGTGTGAGAACCGTATGTTCAGGTTTCTATCATACTGCTTTTCCTGGCAAACAAAAGAGACTGAAAACATTCTCTCTGAAACATTTTGTGCTTCCGGTTTCATTCTGCCAAAGTACAGTTTTTCCTTCTCTGATTTGACTGCCTGGGGTTTAAGTTACCTAGGAGAAGTTAGGAAGCAGCAGCTTGTATCTAAATTGTGTACAAGTGATGATGCCCAGTCTGTGCTTGCAGTGTGGGGCAGGAGAGTGAACTCCAGGCCAGTTTGGGAGCAAGTCTGTGTTCATGGGGGTGGTATGTCTCCCCCAGAGGGTTAGAGGGAGTGAGGGGAGTGCAGGAGGGCACCGGGAGGCCTCTGCTGGAGCCACACGCCCCCTCACACACTTCCTCTTCAGGAAGTTGAATAGGAATGGTTGGGTCACTACCCCCCCACATGTCCATTAGCCAATGAGAGAGGGGAATTCCTCCCCCTAATGTAAACAGCTTTATCAGAACTGAATGTGTACTCTTAGCAAAACGCTTAGTGTGGTTAGTCATGACACAAGCAGGAGGACATGATAAAAATGTTATCTTATTATTTATTTTTTATTATTTCTCTGTCCGGCAGAGCACCAAACTCTGGACAGTGAACATTACTGGGGGAAAAAAATGCAGTGTTTCAGTGATCCCGGCAGTATTAGAAATGAAGTGTAGAATGGTGTTATTGCTCTCTGCCAAAAATTTGGTTTAGAAACAAACCAAGAAATGAAATGATCTTACTGCAATATAATTGCAACATTTTACTTCATTGGGCAAATGAAATAAAAAATACATATCAGCTAAAAGTGGTCTACATGAGCTTAAGTGTTGATTGATCTCCGGAAGAGATTGTGCAAATCATCAGGTGACCAGAGGGACTGATTCCCATTGATCTTTAATGCTAATATGCCAGCTGCGATATCAATGAATTTTGTTGACCATACAAGCCGTGCTACGAAATGTGCTTTCTTCACTCACTAAATAATGAATTCATTTTTAATGACTGCCTAACCCCCCAAGGAAAGACTCATTCGAACGCCAATAAATGTGCTGTGACTTGGCGGGTGTACTGCCCTCCGAAGGCAAAAGGCAGGAACTGCATCTTTTACCAAAATTGAGTTAAGGGGCCTTTTAGCCTCTTTTTTTATATCTCGGGACAAAATATCTTAGTTCGACCATGCTCAGGTTTGAAGAAACAGTGTGAAAATTACAATAAATAAAAACTCACTTTCAGTGTCAGCGTAGTTACTGCATTATGCCCCTTCGTGGGCAAGTATTTATTACATGGCTTTTGTCTTGTAATAAGAAGACGACACCACCTAGTGTAAGAGAGAGGAACTTTCAAAGGTTTCCTAAATCTTTTTTTGTTAACATTTTGAACTTCCCGTTTTTTCCCCAAGTCACAGTCTTTAAGTAATAATCTACCAGTTGGGTTAGTCATCTGTTTTAAATGCAATTTGGTTATTTTTAATGCTTTTGTTTTAGACAAGGGAATCAGCTTAAAGATGAAGGATATTGCATTGGGTCGGATTGTCTTCACCTACCTGCTTCTGCACGTGTGCCACTGAGCTTTGGGGAAAGTATGATCCTTCATCTGGGCACTATAGCTTTGCCCGACAATCAAATGACGTAAAGATTATTGTGTCACTGTGTGAGTGTGAATGAATGCGAGACCTGCTGATCCATGCAGGGTATTCATGTGTCTCTAACCACACACATCCCAAGATGAGGAACGCATCACCGGGACTTCAGATTGGTTGTTGAGAGTAGATGGATGGATAGATAATGGGTAATGGAAGACCAGGGCACAGAAGAAAATCTCAGCATGCATGAAGTGGATAAAATGTTCCAGTGATGTGAGAATGGTTTGCCAAGTAATGCTGTCCTTGCATAATTCCGCTTCTCCAACAACAATGGAATACGCCCCTCTGTTCCGTGGTGGTTCGGTCCAGAGCAAACAGCTCAGCGGCAGGCTGAGTGCCGGCAGTGCCGCATGTCCCTGGATCTCATGGTTGTTCTTGGAGCAGAAGGGTGGCCTGGCTGGAGAAGGAATCACCGTTTGCAGGGCTTTGGCGTCCATTCAAAAATCGCGAAATGAGGCCGTGACACAGAGCCGGCTTCTGACTCTCCAATTCAATGCTGAGAAACCCTGGGATTAAAAAAGAAATGTGTTACTGTTTATTTGCATTGGAAATGTTTGGTTGGCCTGCGTTCATTTAATATACTTGTAGACTTTAACATTGTATACTCTGGCTTTTTATTCGTAATTAATAATACATTCACCTGTGCCTTAAATATTCATGATTTGTGTATTCTGCTGTTCTGAAGAACAGTTTTCATCTGCTGAAATCTGTTTTCTCTATTTAATAATAAAAGGGGCTATGCTAAATTAATTCGGCTTTACTGCCCGATTAGAAACACTGACATCAAAAGCAGCTTTCATGTTCAATCAATCATCACAATATATTTTGACAATAGCCTCCTTGAGCTTCCATGGGATACAGGAATGTTGTGAAAATCAGTCTTGTATCTGCACCAGTCAGGAGTTGGGCAGCTGAAGGCAGGAAGAACAGAGGCAGAGATATTTCTGCTTCTGGAAGACGCTCACTCTCTGCTCATTATATACTGATGTTACTGATGGACAAAATGATGCTCCATGAACCATTTGCTGTATTTTTTGACCCCACTAGATGGTGCTCTCTGTTCACAAATGGACACAAAGCATTTCTCAAAGTCAGGGATGGATTATGGGTTGTGTGGGCCCCTGGGCAAAACGTTCGCATATACATACAGCAAATGGTTCATGAAGTATCATTTTGTCCATCACAAAGTGATGGTATCTTCACCACAATTGGGTACTCTAGCAGCCCATGTGGCCAAACAGTATTTTCCCCTGTCCCTTGAAGTCACCAGTTTAGAGAAGAATCAACAGGTTGCTTTCCATCTGCCAGTTTTCAAAGAAAGACTGAAGTTTGACTGAAATCCCCGCTGCCTCACTGTCATGTTCACAGCGGACAGGACTTTTCTTTTAAGTGTCGCTGTTTGATGACATCAACCGAGGGATGGATATTTTCCATGAACAGCCACATCTGAGTCCAGATGAGAGGAACTCAATATACCCTGTCCAGAAACCGTTTAAGTGGTCCAAATTACACTTGAAATGTGGTATGTCTACTTACTGTATTTTACAGTTCACGGTTCAGGCCATTTAAAGCTTCTAAAATGTTAAACTTTTCTCCTCAAGGCTTTTCACATCCTCAGTAATATTTTGCATATTAGATTAAAACTTGCTTTAGCGTTTGCACTCACAGTGTTCTATGGGTGACACTTCAGTATTTTTACCTTAGAGTCTGTTAGGCTAGGCTTGCCAGATGTTTACAGACTCAGCACATCTGATCACATCTGTCCTTTCAGTCTCTCTGAATCCAAAGCAAATCATTTCCTGTAGCACATCCCTGAGGACACAGTCATGGCTTACAATCAACTGTGATTGGCTCTGACCTACTTAATTAAAAACACAGACCGCATTCTCAGGTCAGATGTCAAAAGGTAAAATTCATGCTCCCATCTTATCAGGATTTCTCAAAGAAATGGAGATCCATAAGATGTGTATTAGATTTACGTTTGTTTTCTGACTTTTCTATTCAGGGTTCCACTCAGGAACGTCTTCCAGACATTCAAGGTTTGATTCTAAAATGTAATACATAATTACGTCAAAGTATATAATCATTTATCTGAATGTGTTTTTTTCTGTACCTTGTACGTTTTTTATTTAAATTTTTTATTTACATTTGTGTGGAGTTTTTAGATTTATTTGAACTGTGCGAACATACTTCAGTATGTTGACAAAAGACATAAATGGCAGTGTATACACTGTATATGAGAACATAGAAAAAGGCTGTGGGCAAGTCATTGTGGGTGTTGGGTCATATTAGAAATGTGCTTCTCTTTCTCTCTGTGGTCAAAGTCTTTTTATTTCCACTGAATTACTTCTCAATACTTTATATAATAACACAGTGGTGAATCTGGAAGAAATTATGCCTCTAAAAATCTGGAACTGTCTCAAATTGCTGGTTAATGTCCAGAGAGCTTGATACAGTGATCAGGTCACTTCATTTTACTTTGTTGTCACGAGTATTAACAATGTACTCTCTGGTTTCTTTTGATACAAATCTAGTTTTATTAAAAGATAACAAAAACGTCTCCAGTACTTCTGTTATAAATGTAAATTGGTCAATGGCCGTCAATCGTATCCTTACGAATGTGAAAGTTTCCACTTCACCTAATCTAGCACTTCACCTTGCTCTGACAGAGGCTTGGCTTGAAGCTGGGCCCAGGT